AGGATACAGCCAGGTCAGAGTACTTTTCCCATGCTGGATGTGAGGTTTTTCTTCCTCTTTCTTTAAACTAGGTATTGCTACAATAAAATTCAAGAACCCTCCAGTGAATAGCCTTACCCTGGAGTTTCTGACAGAACTCATCATCTGCTTGGAGAAGCTAGAAAATGACAAGACCTTCCGAGGTGTCATCTTAACTTCGGTAGGTGCTTGCTCAGGACCACTAGGAAAATAACAGAGAGTAATTCGGCAGCCCCTACCACCTGGAGAGGCTTCCAGGGGGCATAGTCCCTGGTCAGCAGGGATTTGATTTTACTGGTGAACTCAGGCAGGTTATTTTCCTGAAGCAGACCAAGCTCAAGGTCTCTTGCCAGGCCTTTAGTTGTCAGGGTAGACCTGAAGAGAGCTGTGCTGTTCCACAACCTAGGCCGGAACCATGTGGGAAGACCTGGATCTTTTCAAGGGGATTCTAGAGCCCATGGTGCTTCATAAGAAGCTGACCCGAAAGGAACTCAGAGATTCCTAGGCTGCTTTTTTTGCCCAGGAGTCTCTGGTGACTGAGAAACCCCTCATGTGTGTGTCTGGAGACCCAGGGCTCAGCTACTCTTTGGGTTGAACTTAGTTCACATTCTCAGGGGGCAAACTTTTCATCTGTCTTAACTCCAGCATTGCCCCAAGTGCTGTAGATGCCAGGAACTTCATCCAGAGGAATGTGTGACCTTGGAATCTAATGTCAGATCTGTCCCCTGGGGCATCTTGCTGATGGGGATAAAGGTGAGGAAAGGGTACAAACACCCTCTGGAGAATAGACTGCCCACTCTAGCCCTGGGGGTAAGAAAAGACTGTGGTATTAGGTAGATTAGTGATGTCAGAATGCCAAGTAGCAGCTTTGCCACGATCATAGCTTCCCGCTTGGATTGATCCTGAAATATATCATTCGAGATGCTATTTGTGTGTGTTTATGTGTGTGTGTGAGAGAGACAGACAGACAGACAGACAGACAGACAGACAGACACAGACAGACAGGGTTTTACTATGTAGTTCAGGCTGGCCTTGAAGAAGTCACTTTGTTGGGGCCAGGGAGATGGCTCAGTAGAATAAGTGCTTGCCTGGCAAGCTCAAGGGTCTGAGTTCAATCCCTGGTTCCGAAAAAAAAAAAAAAAAAAAAAAGTCACTTTGTAGCCCAGGCTAGCCTTGAACTCACAGTGATTCTCTTGCCTCAGCCTCCCAAGTGCACAATCATGCAATTTTTAGGATTGTTTTGTTTTGGTTTTTAAGCCCTGGGAATTGAACCAAGGTTCTTCACACTGAGCTATATCCTTATATCCCCCCTTTTTTTTCATTTTAATTTTGAGATAGAGTCTTCTAAATTACCTAGGCTAGGCTCCAGCTGCCAATATTCCTGCCTCAGCCTTCCAAAGTACTCATGGCTTCTGGCATCCCTAGATTTTAGAAATGGGCTAACTCATGGCCCTTGTAGTCTCTTTAGCAAGTGGTGTCCCCAGTAATACCTCAACTTTTTTTTTTTTTTTTTTTTTTTTTTTTTGAAAATACGTCTTGCTATGTAGTTCCAAATGGCCTTGAACTTTTGGTGATCCTCTTGCCTCAGTCTCCCAAGTGCTGGGATTACAGGCATGTACCACCATACCCCAGCTACTTTATTTCTTGAACATCCAGAAAGAAGCACTTTTTTTGTCCTGCCACTTGGATGTCATCGCCTCTACCCTATCCCTTCTGCCATCTTATACAATCAGCACAGGATGATGACTCCTGGATCCCTGAACCAGTCCCATTAGTAACAGCTAAATTTAATGTAACTGTCACTTATCTTTTCATCTCTATTGGGCCTAAGTTGTTTTTTGTTTTTTTTTAAATTTATTTATTGCATGTGTGGGTGTGTGTGGGTGTGTGGGTGTGGCCAGCTCAGCCCACCAGGGGGGCGGGGCTGGCTGGCATGTGGTGCTGGGGGATTGAACCGCGGTCCCTGTGTTTTTGCTTAGCTTAGCTTGTACTAAGTAGGTGCTTTAGACCACTGAGCCATCTCACCAGCCCCCGGGCCTAAGTTTTTAAGAAAAAAGAACATTATTCATAGAAACCAAAAAGAGATCAGCCCACAGTATTGTGCACACCCAAGCACAATGAGAACAGTGGGCATCCCGTGCTGCGTGCTAGGATTTCTTCACTGCATCTAAGGCCTTTGTTCTGAGCCTCCACACATGAGGTTGTTGTCCATCCTTGTGGCTGCAAACAGCGTGGGGCAAACACCCATCCCTATGCGTTCCTGGGAGTCAGGATAGGTGTAACAAATCCCAGGAACTCCACCATGGATGGAAACAGTGGAGATATCGTGGCCCATGGGAACATGGGTATGGGGTGTTCTCTCTGGGCTGCATTCCTAGCCAGCAGCACTTTAACCAAATATCCAGGATTTGGTGCTCACCTACTGCATCCCACTGGCCTGCTCACCTTTCCCACAGCCCAGCAATGCCTCTTCTCTGCTCTTCCCAGGTCCTCCTGGGTAGCTGTGCTTGAACCTGGTTATCTACCAGGGACATGTCTTCTGGATCATTCCACTACCCCAGCACCTCTTAGCTTTATTTGATTCTCTATAAATGAAAGTACCTGTTCCTGGGTCTCCAGAGTCCTCATTGTACCAGAGTTCTCAGCCTGGATGACAAAGAACTGGGCATAAAAAAAAAGAACTAGGCATGCAGCGGTGTACACAGGTGTGCAGAGAACAGGCACCTACCTGTCTGCCTTTTCCAGTTTAAAACTGGAAAGGGAAGACTGTCCTGAGAAGTGAGGCTGGGTCAGAGAGGTCTAGACTATGTCCTTGGAGTCCCCGGTTCTGGGCTTCAGAGAGGCAGCGACCTGCACCCTGAACCTAACCCTATGCCTGGTGATGAAATGGACTCCGATGAACACCACGCCCTGGCTTCTTCTCCTAGAACTCTCCTGGCATCTTCTCAGCTGGCCTGGACTTGAGGGAGATGTGCGGGAAGAACCCAGCACACTACGCTGAATACTGGAGGGCTGTACAGGAGTTATGGCTGAAGCTCTATGTGTCCAACATGATCCTGGTTGCTGCCATCAATGTGAGTGTCTTCACCCCATGGAGTCTTTTCTGAGACCAGCTCAGGGGCAGGGGCAGACACCAGCCTGAGCCAGACATATGTGTTTGTTTTGTTTGTTTGGCAGAACCGGAGATTGAACTCAGGCCTTTGCGCTTACCAGGGAAGCACTTATTCCACTGAGCTATCTCCCCAGCCCTGAGCCAGACATATAACACACAAAAGAGCCAGTGGGTGGAGACTACAGCCTGGCCTGCTAAAGAGGCTATGCCTTGAGCAGGTGGTAGACCAGGTCTGCTTCTTGGGAACCTTACTCTGGCCAGACATAGAAAAGTTGAGAAGCTGGAAAAAAGAGGACAGGTAGGGCTCTGGAACCGTGCTCTGAGCAGGTAGCCAGGAAAGGCTGCATGTCACTAGAATGCAGAAGAAAGAGATAACATGAAAGTTAAGGGCCTCATTTGAAATAACATAGTGAGATAGGATAGGGATGCTGAAGAGGAGACACTGATGATCTGCTGTCTGTTTAGGGCAGTGTAGGGCTAAAGACATGGTATGGTATTCCTGGGGCATCCTGCTGGGGTTAGCTGCTGCACATGGTTTGGGGTCCTGTGTTTGTTTGTAGTAGTAGCATGAGATGAAAACTATTAAAGGAAAAGCAACTTGCCATCATCAACAGCAGGTTTTTCTGGCCTCCAAATGCTGATAATCCTGTCTTTAGGGACCCCAGGTTGACAGGCAAATCCAAGCCCTTCTTGAAATGGGGTTGGGGGGAGAGGTTCCTTCTTTACAGTCCTTTTCCTCATTGTGCACACCCAGCCTGCATTGTGAGTGCATGCTCTAGGTAGTGGAGCTTCAGGGTATTCCCAAGAGCTCATGCTTACTCATTCACTCTTCCTGGGCTCCACCCTGACCCCTGCTGTCTGGGGTATACTTGGAACCAGTGGCACCTCCAGACCATGTCTTCCCTGCAGGGAGCTTCCCCTGCCGGAGGCTGCTTGATGTCCCTCAGTTGTGACTACCGGGTCCTGGCTGACAACCCAAGGTACAAAGTAGGACTGAATGAGACTCTGCTGGGCATTGTCGCCCCCTTCTGGTAAGGCCAGGGGCTGGGCCTAGGCTACACTTCACCCTAAACTAAACAGTACCTGCTGGGAGCCCCAGAGGCCAGAGGTGAACAAGCATTTGTATTCTAGGTTCAGAGACACTCTTGTGAACACCATTGGGCACCGGGCCTCGGAACGTGCCTTGCAGCTGGGCCTTCTCTTCCCACCAGCAGAGGCCCTTCAGGTGGGCATGGTGGACCAGGTGGTTCCGGAGGACCAGGTACACAGCACAGCACTCTCAGTGATAACCCAGTGGCTGGCCATTCCAGGTGAGGAGCTTGGAGAAGATGGGCATTTGCAGGTATCCATGAAAAAAGGGAATCCTCCCTAGCCCAATGATCCAGCCTAGTGATACCAAAAGTTCTCCACATGAAGATTCTGTGGAAGCCATAAATAAATATGCACAGAATAGAAGCCAGGGATATAGGTGAGCAGCACCTATACTTGCTACATAGTTCAGGCTCTCCTTACAAGTGCAAAGTCCTGAGTTCACTTGCTGGTACCAAAAAAGCAAAGAAACTCAACCATGCACAAAACAGCCTCACCAGCAGGGGGTGCCATAACAAGGTACCAGTCTGGTTAGTTGAAAGCCACAGAAATTTTCTTCTCAGTTCTTAAGAAACCAAAGGTCCAGATTCAAGGTGCCACCAAAGCTGAAGGAAGATCCCCTTGACTCTTCCAGATTATACTGGTTCCATCTCTCAGCTTGTGGCCATACTGCTCATCTCTGCCTCCTTACGTGTACTCCTCTGTCTCTGCCTCAAATTTCTTTTCACTTCAAAGGACACCTGCCATTGGATGAAGGCTTTATTGTATCCAATATTATTTCATCTCTTAGTTACATTTGCAGGGACTTTTTGCCAAAATAAAGCTACATTTACATGCTCTAAGGAAGTGGTCAGGACTTGAACATATCTTTCTGGGAACCCTCTAAAAGGACAGTTGGAAACTTGCTTATCTGTTTATAGAAACAAAATGATCATATCAACAATGATAGATTTTGTCTGTGAAGAACAAGGAACATTGTCAGTCTTGTAGGTCACAAGGTCTCTGTTGAACTGGGAGATGCCACAGGGAACACAGGAGTATGACCGTGCCCCAGTAAGAAGGTAGAGACACAGAAGCTTCACTGTCATCTTTTTTTCTTTTTTTTAATAGACAAGTACTTGCTACATAGTTCAGGCTCTCCTTACACTCTGTAGCCCAAGTTGACCTCAAATTTGAGACAACCCTGCCCCAACCTCCCAAGTGCTGGGATTATAGATCTGCATTGCCACACCCAACAAGTGTTGGTTTTTAATCACAATTTTTTTTTTTTTTTTTTGTGGGATTGGGGATTGAACGGCAAGTCCTTATTCTACTGAACTATCTCCCCAGCCCTCCCTTTTTTTTTTTTTTTTTTTTTTTTTTTGCTCCAAATACATTCAGGG